CTACACAGAAATGCATCAAAACTCTAATTCTTCACGGAGAACTTGGTGATTGCAATCCTGAAACGGCGATGCTGTGCTATAGTCAGCCAGGATAAAAAACATCTGATATTAATTTGAATCTCTCTTCTTAAGGAGCACATCAACTTTTTATGACATTTGTAGGAATGCTGAGACCTTCCATCCTGCCTCAACAAGGTAAAGATTATTCTTGGATTTAAATGCATTTTTTTAGAAGTGGGCTGACAGATCTATATATATATAAGCAGGTGTATATATATATAAAAGCAGGTATATCTTACATAGATCTCATTATCTTCAGGAGCCTGGAAAAAAATATTAGTTACCATGCTATATGACAGGAATCAGGTAAAAACCCCTAATCCAAATTGCCATACCAGTAAATGTAAAGGTGATGTTGTGGGACCTTTGGCTGATATTTTCTCCCAGAGACCTCTCCGAACATAATGGACAGTGGTCCCAGCAATATTAAATGTTCCCGAATGCTCTATCTTCCAGTCACTATTGATTGACTGTTTTCCAGCATCTCGAAGAGCTGCAAAATATATGAAAAAAGACCAATATAAAAGGTGTCTGTTCAGTAGTGATTTGGGCCTCCTTTCACTTCCTGTTTGGATAATTTAGCAAGTAGATGAAATCATAACTCTGTTTGCGAAGATATTTATGGATCCTACTATATATGAACTTCAGTTGGAACATGCTTCAGAAACACTTTCTGGAAGGAATGCTTGGCAAAACCATGTATGTTTAACATTACTTGAAGTTAACATCAGTGTTTTAATGCCTAAAGAGACTGACAGGCTCCAGCATAATTCACAATTTGATCACTGAATTAATTTAAGGCAAAGGCAACCATTCTCTATTCCTAGGGTGGTCATTTCTATAATCCATAAAGGCATGGGAAACAAAATTTTCACAAGATACTCTTAAAGATTTGTGGAGTTAGGCTAAAACTTCAAAAAAATTTCAGTTCAGAATTCTTTCCCCTCTAAAAACTACATTTGCCTTTTTCTCCACCTTAGAATGTGACAATACTACTGTCATCCTATCGAAACACTTATTTTATACACCTTCACGACATAATTTGATGCTTCTAACAAATAGGAAAAGCTTGTTCTTTATGGCTGAATGATTCCTCTTGTTGGCCTAATTTATATTCAAAAGCATCATCAAGTCAGGTAAGATATATTTCATACATTGAGAACACAGGATTTTACATTAGTTTTCTATAGTAAATTGAATAGGTTCTTTTGTGAAAGACTTGCAATTTTATTTAATTTTACTTTATTTTATTTTATTTTGTTCAGATCAGATCTGAAATAATCATGTGAAGTAGAATATACTTGAAGTCACCTTCTGGCCAAGAAGTTTTACACATTCCTCTTCATTGAAATTGCATGTTTGGCATCCGACTGTTGTAAGAGAACCTCAACAGTTTAAGCCTTGTCCAAAATTTCTTTTTTAAAGTTGTAAGTTAATGTGAGTCACTCCTGTAATCATCTTCTCTCCTATTCATATTTATACTGTTATGTTTTGTTTCTATGGGAAACAATGGCAACAGGTCTATGGACTGGCAGAAATACAATTGCGTAAGACACCACTGATGTGTACCACTGCAGCACTGTGTAATAAATGTTGAGACTATAAAATCCATTAACGCTGTAGAACAGCCCTGTACTAAAAATAACCAGTGATTTTACACAACTGAAAATCGGTATTTTAGCTTTAAACATGCTATTATTAATGGTAATTAAGTTCTATTTAGTGTTTAAACTGTAGGGGTCAATCCTCTTCCCAGTGGAGAAACAAACAAATGTACTCGAAAATGCTGAGGTCCAGTCGGGTCATGCTGCTCAGATGGAGCAGCATCCTGTCCCTGGAGAGCAGTGGGCTTTGCATCGTTTTGTCTTGTCTTTAAAATGAACATGTGTGCTACAGCATGCAGACATGTGCAGGAGACTGGAGTCCCAGGCCCAGAATACAGAAATATGCCAGATCTTGCATTTTCTGCTTTCAGATTCTTCACTTGAGCTACTGGGGTTAGACAAAGTAAGAAAGGGTATCCTAAAATTTAGGCTTGGATTCAGGCAGTCCAGCTTCTGTTCTTGACTCTGTCACACTCTACATTGTGAGCAAGTTCACTGAGTTTTACTCTACACCACACATGTACTCCCACTCTGCTTAGCTTTCCATAAAGGAGGATTTCCTGTATAAAGTAATGCAATACAGGAAGAAAATTCAGCACACAAGTGTATCCTTTCTCAGGCTATAAAACAAATCAAGCAATACATCTACAACTAAAAAAACAAACAAAGAAAACTGAGACTGGGAAAACCTACTGTAGCCAAGACCCAAATTTCAGTGCTAAAACAAGGGAGCTAATTACAAGTGCATCTCTGCAGAGCATAAGATAGCCATCATCACAATGACAATTAAATGATGGTGATGACTGCAATGTATTTTTTAATTACTGTACGAGGGATAGACACTCTTCCAATTTTAATGAGGTATGAGAGGCAACACAGCCATAGAGATGCAACATTTCACAGTTCAGCTATGGCATTGTGCTCCCAGTGCTCAGTGGGGAGCAGCAGTGCCCTGGTCCTGATCCTCCACTTGGTAAATCTGTGCTTACTAATCCTTTTACTGTTTTCTATGGAAAACTATAAAATACTACTGTAAAACAGGACTGCTGTATTAACTTTGAAATTTTTGCTAAAGTTGAAATTGCCACACTTTATCTAGAGTTTAAGAAAAAAGGCATTTGTACCAAAATAAGAGGGAAATTGACATCTTTGTGAATTTTGAATTTTGTCTTTTGTTCTGTGCAAAATTTAGTCATACTCTCCAGAAAAGTACCAAAACAATGTAATTTCGACTGACTCCTATTTTTCAAGAAATTGACAAATACAAAAAATATCTGAAATTAAATTCTAAATGAGAGTACCTTTCTTTTGTCAAGGAAGCCATTGTTTCACTTCAGTTCAGGTTATCATGTGTTCCCTTCAAGCCATCTTAAGAATATTAAGACGAGATTTGAGTAACTTTTTGAAAATTTCAACTTATCATCCCACAAGGGACACAATTCGGTCTTGAGCTTATATATATGGTGCCACTACAAATCATCTAGAGTCACATATAATTTGGCATAATGTGTTATTGTTTCTATTTAAACTATTTAAATTATTTTAGCTTTCTATTTAAAGTATTTTTTCCAACTTTTTATTAAACAGGAAGATACTTAAAGATGCTGAAAGGAAATAAGTTTTCAGTTTGTAGTACCCTACAGGACATATTATCAGTGTCCTGTAGATAGTATTTCTTATTATTAGAAGAAACTTCTATTGAACATTGCCTTTCTTCTACAAGGTCACATTTTAAGGTTGATAATTCCTTGCTGTTTGCTCCAAAGTAGCTAAAGATGAGCCTTGATATTATCATCTCCAGCAAACTTTCCTTTAGTTGCTGCTTCTTCAGTCTTTTCAAAATCACTGTTTTGATGTCAAGGAAACTAAAGTAAGAGAAGAGAAAGCAAAATGAAATGCTATCAAGTGGGCATGCAGACTGTCAAATGTCAGCAACAGAATATCTTCTTCCTAAATTCCAGAAAAATGTTTATGACATATTCCAGCAATTAAATATTTATTTTAAAAACAATCAATCAGGGCTATAGTTAAGGCACTTAACAGCTATTACTAAAAAGCCCAGATTAGAGTGGAACAATTTAATATGGAGAAACTCACAGATATGAATTTTACTGTTCTTGCTGAACTTTTTTGCATACACATTTTTGTTGTATTTAGAAAATCATATTTCTACCATTCATTTATAAGTACTGTTATGCATGATCAATATTTACTAACTAGGAAGTGGTGTTTTTTGAAATAACAGATGTGACTGTAAACATCTCTCTTGCATTCACATGTGAATAACACCAATGAATAAGCAACACAAGCTCACAAGTGCTATTCTGTTTTATAAGCAGTAACTATCAAATTATGTGCCACATTCAGAGGTCTACATATTCCTAGAAGCTGTTGATAGCATTTCAGCATCACCTCAGCTAATTAACCCCAGCTGGTCATTAGCATCCAAAAAATCCTTGTGTTAAGGTCATTACTGCTATTATAATGAGAAACTGATAACAGGGAAAGCAACATGCATATTTTGACATGATGGGACAACACATGTAATTCATATAAAAAAAGAGACTGCTTGTATTTTCTCACAATAACTCTTGACAATAGAAAGGAGTAATCAGGCTGTCCAGCTTAATTCTTCTAAGCTATACCAATCATTCCATGCTAAACAGTAATAAAGACACTAATTTACAAGTACCTCACCTAAAGGCATATATGTAATGTAATGAAAATCAAGGACTTCTAAGACTATGGTTAAAAGTAAGTGCTAGACTATGCTTAAAATTAGTAAGCATTACTTTTGCTTGCTGTGCTGCAATGCTCACACATAAAATTAATTTTAACTCAGAAATTGATTCCTGATTTATCTGCCTATTTTCTTAGTTACATGTTTTCAATCACACTTTTGATTACCTCTTTGCACTTCCTTTATCACTTCTATTTCACAGAACAACACCACAAGTTCTCTCGGTATCAGATACAACTGCATGGGAATATTTAATTAAGGGTGTACATATACGTACAGGTATGTACATATATACATATCTATGTCTGTTCCAACATTCTACATAGACAAGGAACATTTATTTCTACAAAGAAACCTGACATACATTGAAATGTGTACACACAAAAATACAATCTTATCTCTCTGGAAAATAACTCAAACTCACACAAGACTTTCTGGAACTTGTCTGCTTAATTTATATTGTTACAAACTGCATATTGACAAATGCATTGCTGATAGCTTTCAAAGATAAGAACTTAATCACAAATGCTAAAGAATGCATATTTCATAGAATCATACAATGGTTTGGGTTGGAAGGGACATTTAAAGATCGTCTAGTTCAAACCCCCTGCTGTGAGCAAAGACATCTTTCACTGGATCAGGTTACTCAAAGCACCATCCAACCTGACCCTGGACACTTCCAGGGATGATGCATCCACAATTTCTTGCGCAACCTGTTCCAGTGTCTCACCGCTCTCATTGTAAAAAATTTCTTCCTTATATCCAGTCTAAATCTACCCTCTTTCCATTTGAAACCATTGCCCCTTGTCCTGTCACTACAGACCATGGTAAAAAGTCTCTCTGCATCTTTCTTATAAGCTCCCTTTACATACTGAAAGGCCACAATAAGGTCTCCCCAGAGCCTTCTCTCCTCTAGGCTGAACAACTCCAACTCTTTCAGCCTTTCTTCATAGGAGAGGTGTTCCAGCCCTCTGATCATTTTTGTGGCCCTCCTCTGGACCCGCTCCAACAAGTCCATGTCTTTCTTGTACTGGGGACCCCAGAACTGGATGCAGGACTCCAGGTGGGTTCTCAGGAGAGTGGAGTAAAGGGGAAGAATCACCTCCCTTGACCTGATGGCCATGCTTCTTTTGATGCAGCCCACGATAT